TTTTCAATTCTTTTGCCTCAGCCTACCAGAGTGCTGGGATTATAGGCGTGTGCCACCACACCCAGCCAATCTGATGTTTCTAATCCTAGTTTCCATCTTCTAAATTCCTAGCCATTTCCCATGACCTGATTCCATTGCTTTCTCTCCCAGGAAGCTTTCTCTGATCACTCCTGGTAAAGATGTTCTCTTTGCCTACATTTTGTACATTGAATACTTACTATATATTTTGGTTTGCCTTTCTTTTTTTTTTTTTATTAGTCTTTTTGAGACAGGGTCTCTCTATGTAGTCTAGGTTGGCCTTGAACTCACTTTTGTATCTCAGGCAGGTCTTGAACTCACAGTGATCCTCCTGCCTCAGCCTCCCAAGTCCTGATATTACAGGAATGTGCCACCACACTTGGCTTCGGTTTGCATATCTTGATGACTTCCTGTAGCTGCAGAGATTCAGCTATAAGCTCTTTTTTTTGTTTGTTTTTGTTTTTTTCCGGTACCAGGAATTGAACTCACGATGTTGTGCTTGCCAGGCAGGCACTGTGCTGCTGAGCTAAATCCCCAGCCCCAGTTATCAGCTCTTCTAAGGCATGGATTATAAATGATCCAGTTTTGTATCACTCCTTCACTATAGAAGGTAGCAGGCCTCCATATATGTAATACATATTAACTTTATCATGATATGACTCACAGACCATAAAATTTGCCCATTTAATGTCTATAACTCAGTGTTTTTTTTTTAAGTATATTTAGTGTTGTGCAACTGGAATGACAATCAGTTTTAGAACATTTGTATCACCCTCCCCAAAAGAAGCCCCATGTACATTAGCAGTTGGTCCCTCGCCCCAAATCCTTGACCCTAGGTAACTATGGTCTCATTTGTCTCTGGATATTCTGGGTACTTCATGTAAAAGGAGTCAGGCATTACCTGTCCTCTGGGGCCTGGGGTCTGGCTTATTTCATGTGGTATAATGTTTTCAAGGTTCATCCATGTTATGTGAGTCATCTTCATGCCTTTTTTTTTTTTTTTCCGGTACCGGGAATCGAACTCACGACCTTGCGCTTGCCAGGCAGGCGCTGTGCCGCTGAGCTAAATCCCCAGCCCCGTTCATGCCTTTTTGTGGCTGAACAATGGCCTATATATGGATCTACCACATTTTATTTATCCATTCACCACCTGATGGATGTTCAGCTATTTCTACTTTTTAGCTATTATGGATATAATGCTGGTGTGAACATCCATGCACAAATTTTTGTGTGAACATAAATTTTCATTTCTAGCATGTGTTCCCAGGGGTGGAATTACTGGGTCTTATGGGAACTCTTATGTTTAACCTTTTGAGGAAGAGCCAAGTACTTTTCAAAATGGCCACACCATTTTATACACCCCCTAGGAATGTGTGAAGGTTCTAGCTTCTCCACATCCTCCTCAGCATTTTTCTTTTTTTTTTTCTGCAATCAGATTTTATTGATACACTTTAGATATACATAATGTTCACACTGATCATAGAGAATTTGTACCTGTACATGATATAACTTCTTTTTTTCCCCATTCTCCCGTCCTTCCTTCAACCTCTCCTCCCTCCTCATAAACAAAAGCTTTGTTTCCATGTTTTCCTTCTTTTTTTTCTTTTAACCTTTCTCTTCTTTCCTTTTCTCCCTCTCTCCTCTCTCTTATTCCCCTCCCTATTTGAACATTTTCTTCCTATTTCACAATACCTATTATACATCTTGTTCCTTATTCACACTTTTGGTTTTTCATACCAGAGACACAATGCGGTATTTACACCTGTGTGTCCAAGACGTTTCTCTTTTTTGTGTGCTTATTTTGGTTTTTTGAGACAAGGTCTTGCTGTGTAGCTCCGGCTGACCTTGAACTCACTACATAGTCCAGGCTATTCTCAAACTTGAGGACCCTCTTGCCTCAGCCTCCTGAGTATTAGGACTACAGGTGCGCACCACCAAGCCCAGCCTGAACTTTATTATAGCCATTTGAGTGAATATAAAGTGGCATTTCATCATAGTTTTGATAGGATGCTTTTGTTTTTTTCTTTTTTACCTATTAAATATTTAGTAAATATGTGTTAGATAAATACTATTTACATGAAATATGAACAAATAATCTTTTGGACAGGTGGTTAAACTTCTAAATTTATTAATTTAGAAATTAATTTAGAAATGAGGTCATAGGGCCTATTAAACATTTTTTTAAGACAGGGTCTCACTGCATACCCCAGGATGGCTTTGAGTTCTCAATTTTCCTACTTCAGTCTCCCCAACACTGATTGTAGGCATGGGCCCCATCCATACCTGGTTAAACTCCAATTTTTCTACTGATTATTTTTTCCCCTAGTGCTGGGGTCCACCAGGGTCTTGTGCTCTTACCAGTGAGCTACACCCTCAGCTCTAAAATCCAAATTTTTTAAAAAAACCACTTTTGTGTCAGGCATGGTGGTACATGTCTGTAATCTCAGCACTTGGAAGGCTGAAGCAGGATGATTACTGTGAGTTTGAGGCCAGCCTGGGCTACATAGTGAGATCAAGGGCAGTCTGAACTACAGAGCCAGAGCTTGTCTAGGGGTAGGGGAAAGCAACTTTTAATAAAAGTTTTCTCTTTTAGGTTGACAGTATTATCTAGATGGCATTAGACAACTGGGCATTGTGGTGCACGCTTAGTGTGAGGCCAGTCTAGGCTACAAAGTGAATTCAAGGCCAGCCTGAACTATATAGCAAGACCCTGTCTCAAAAAGACAAA